CAACACCATTTGAATGACAAATCCAAAACGCAGCACCGTAGGGGCTGCCATAAGGAAAATGAACATCATCTCAAAGATGACCCGGCACACCAGGAAAGAAATGAAAATAGCAAGAAGCTACTAAAGCCAAAAGCCCCATTTGTGCAGAGGAGTGATTAGGACAGAACCACTTAAATTAGTCCCCCACAAAATTAAACATGTTTTTGCACAACAGAGAGCAGAAAACAGCATTCAGAGAATGGGCGAAACAGCAAGGGCAGCCTTAGAGGCTGCTCCAATTCCCTTCCAGCAGGCCTGCACACATTCTTCAGCGGTAGGTGCTAAATAACCATTCTCAGCCCATTGCTGTGTTTGGGAGCTCAGCACATTGTTTGCCTTGATGGGTAAGATTTTTGATGACTTCCTGATGGCCAACTGTTGGTTTGGCACTGGTGTTTATATATTATACATATAAAAGCAGTTATGGACTGCTTGGGTATGTTTGTGGTTTGAAACCAGTTGACTCTTTTAACTGAGGCACTCATGTGAGGACTGCCTTACATAAAGGAACTGATTTCTGACTGGATAGAGTTGTGAGTATGGGGCAGTACAAAACCATGTCAGTCCTACGACTTTCATGTAAGAGCATGGAAGGCACAGACTGAGGTACCCTGTGCTTTCCTGAGATGCTCACGCTGCCTTTCCCACAGGCAGCCAGCTCTTCTCCCTGCCTACAGCTACTCCCTGCTCCACCACCCTGTGGTTTTGCATGGCCTCCTCACGCCTGGTTATATTCACTGACTTGACACAAGCTGAGCTCTGCAAGGGCTTCTGGAAAGGAGCAGTTCTTTTATGACTGCACACTTCCCTGTACAAAGAGTGAGAGCAGCATGTAATCCTAATGAAATATACTGAAGAGAGATGAGTTTGCCATTTAAATAGTCAATGTAATGTTTTGGCTGTATCTGAAGATCAACATTTACAGAAAATAATGTGTAAATTCCTTTTTATATGGTTCTTCAGAGGTTGCTTCCAGAAAATGATTTACTACTCCAGATGCCTAAATAGTAGAAGATATTGACTGACTGGAGAGAGTTCAGAGCAGAACAGTAAAAACGATCACTTAGCACAGATGTTTTGATTTATAAAAAAAAAAAAAAAAAAAAAAAAAGCAGATAAAAGATTAAAGGGGCAAAATACAGCTTGAGGCGAGGCTAACTGAGGAGCTAGAGAGAACATAGCTGTCCTGAAATATATGAGTGATGTAAACACCATGAATAAAGCAATTACACATGGCAATGCACCACAGGGTGAGCAATGGCACAAACAGCTCTATCCTACCAATTACTCTTCTCTAAGCCAAACTTAATTAAAGAGAAGTTGAGGTTAAGTCTTCTGTCAACCATTTCTTTGCAGACCTAGCACTTCACAGGGACCAAAAAAAAATAATTCTTGAAATGTCTGGGCTTCTGGATCATATTAAATAGCAATATTCCTTCTTATAGCAAGAAAAAAAAAAAAAAAAAAAAAAAAAAGACACAATGTTCAATGTTTATTTAATCATAAGATTAAAAAGATGTAGGCTGTCTTCATACCACAGGAAATTTCCTGCTGGTATCAGCATGCCCCTCCCCTGTTACAGAACAAGAGTGAGAACCTATTTAAAAGCAAAGTCTCAGAAGTCTGGGTGCATACTGACTGCAGGACTGGGACGTTTTCATTTCTCTGCTGGTACTGTCCAAGACCCATGTCTCCTCATAGCACACAGCCCAGCCACCTCCACTCAAATGAGGATTGCAAAACACTTTTACCAATACTCATTTGTGATTTCAGAAATAGCTTTAACGAGTTGTGAAGTATCTTTATTGGAGTAGAACTTAAGAAAAGGATGTTGTTATGGTAAGTGTTCTGTGAATGCAAGACGAATGGGTACTCCCTGTTAATTTACAATCTCAATAATTAAGCAAGGCATGGCAAGCAACAGATGCATAAGGAAATACAGAAGAACACTACGAAAAAGATTCCTAACTTCATGGTCATGCAAGACAAATGACAGCTGATCTGTTTCTTATAGGGACCTTAACAGACAAAGTTTTAATATTGTTCTTTCTTGGTTCCCTTCACTTGCTTGATTACAGGTTAATACACTACATTGCTTTGTATTCTGCATAAACACATCCCTTGGCATTAGGCATTACCTAATATATACTGACTTTGATTCTTAAGATTTGAATACATTTGGATTTTATTTTTTTTTTTGTTACACCTTAGGTGGACTGGATGATCTTGGAGGTCTTTTCCAACCTTAATGATTCTATGATTTCTGTGATTCAAAAGGATTAATTGGTAATTCAAAGCCGACAAACTAGATTGCACACCAACATCTCTCAATCTCATCCCACTGGTATGAATGCAGAACAAATTGCCTCAGACCCAGAATCACACTGGTGATCACCTAACTTGAGTAGTCTTGGATAAGTTCTCATCCCTCTATGAGGGGACGGATTTGCAGAAGCTCTCCGTGCTTTCTGTTGCTATTCACTTTGATTGAAGCCATGCTTTGACAATATAAATCTTTATATAAATTTTGTAAGACTTTTAAAAACAATACCTACTTGGAATAAATCATGTTCTCTGCATCTCAGATTAAGTTGCCAAAAAAAGTGGACACTCAATACTTTGACGCAAATCATAGAATCATATAATCGTAGAATCATAAAGGTTGGAAAAGGCCTCCAAGATCATCTGGTACAACCATCACCCTACCACCAATATCACCCAGTAAACCATGTCCCTAAGCACCATCTCCAACCTCTCCTTAAACACTTCCAGGGACGGTGACGCCACCACCTCCCTGGGTAGCCTGTCCCAATGCCTGACTACTCTTCCTGAGAAGAAATGTCTCCTCATTTCCCACCTAAACCTCCCCTGGCACAACTTGAGCCCATTCCCTCTAGTCCTATCACTAGTTATCTGTGAGAAGAAGCCAACCCCCAGCTCCCCACAACTTCCTTTCAGGTAGTTGTAGAGAGCAATGAGGCCTCCCTTGAGCCTCCTCTTCTCCAGACTAAATGACCCCAGTTCCCTTTTCTGCTCCTCATAGGACTTTTGCTCCAGGCCCTTCACCAGATTCGTAGCCCTGCTCTGGGCATATTCCAGGGCCTCGATGCCTTTCTTGCAGTGAGGGGCCCAAAGCTGAACACAGTACTTGAGGTGCGACCTCCCAGGCCTGAGTACAATCCACTTCACTGCTCTTGTGGCTGGCTTGCTCACCACAGAAGTGATTTAACCGCTGAGCACAGGGGTTCATGCAGCGGTGACAGAAAACTTGAGCCTTGCTGATACCAGAAGAAGAGTAAAGCCTTACTGCAAAACTTGTGGGCTACAGAACGTCACTACATAACAGTACCAATGCTTAAAACAGCCAGTAATATCTTTATTTCTGGCATTTCAAAAGTAAGATTTATTACAACTGAACTCACAAATAGTAAATAGATAAATATAAATCAGCTTTAGACAGTTAGCCATTATGAAAAATGCATCTACATTTTTATGTTGGCAGAACACCAAATGTTTTTATAATGGACAGTTCCAGGGCACTTGATGTGCTGATATCGTGTTATTTGACTTTATTTAGCATTATTTATAGAAAAGGAATGGCTTCTTGAAGAATACTGGAGAGGAATGGCATGGTATGGGATGGTATCTGAAAACTCTGTGCTGGTGGCCAGGTGACACTTTCGGTGGTGCCGGTGACAGCCCCCTCCTCTGTGACCCCAGTACCACAACCCTATGGGCTAGCTGGAGAAGGCCTGGAAAGGGCTGGAACTTTGGCGGCCATTTCGCATTCAGTTCTCCAGTCATTAATTCTCTGGCCGTTTCTGCTGAATCCAGCAGAAAGGTTTATGTTCTGCGTGGTGTTGCCTACAGGCTGCTCCCTGATGGTGGGTGGAGGGGCAGGGCCTCACAACCAGGCCCTGCCGTCAGGGGGAGACCTGAATAAACTGGTTGAATAAAAAAGGCTTCTTCTGTAGCACAAATTGCACTTAATATGTTTAAATATTGGCCTTTTACCACATCACACCAACAGTTTTGGTGAACTGGAAACGCAGCCTAGCTCAGAAGCTGTGTCTGCACTTCATGTTTTGCCTGTCGCACTCCCTAGCACAAGCAGGGTTGCTGACAGGGACATACAAGCTTGGAATATCAAAAACCTTGATGTATCAAGGACACAACTGCAGTGGCTATGTGTCCATGCTTTAGCTACAGACACAAGTAGCTGGGGGGGGGAGGGGGTGAGGGTTCAATTTCTGAAGGAACGGTGCAGTAACTGATACGGCCCATGTGAAAGCAGCACATCCCCAGAGTCACACCCAGGAGGGAGCCAGGAGGATTTCTCCAGCGCTCTGCAGGGAGGGGACACTTTATGCTTTAAGCTCTTATGCTTCGGCAAGACACAGATAAGCTACATTCTGCCCGCTGTGTATAGCAGCTGTGTTGCCGTTTCAGCACACCGATGGTGAATTGGGCAGCTGGCTATTGCACTGAGGGGCAGGCAGAGCGCCCTGTTGAGGGTTGTCACAGTGTAAGGGTCCGGGCGAGGAGGCTGGGGGAGCGTGGAAGTGCTTTTTTTAAACTTAAATGGCAAAAAACAGCGGGCAAGGAAGCGCTGCCAAGGCGGTCCCCGCTTCGCCTGAGGCACTGCGAGGACCCTGAACGGAACGGCCCGGCTCTGCCTCTTGCCGGAGGGCGGGCGGGCGGCGTAGCCCGCGGCTGACACCGCAGCCAATGGGAGCTCCCGGCGGGTCTGTTGCTAGGTAGAACAACGACTTTCGGCCGCTGTCAGCCGTGAGCGCAGTGCCCAATGGCAGGATTTTGAGCCGTGTTGACTGCGACGCGACAGCGGGTGGGCGCTCGGCATCCTTACCACCCAATCAGAGCCAGGAGGGCTGACGCTGCGCGCTCCGATAGGCTGCCTAGGCCGGGACTGACGCGACCGAGACCCAATGGAAAGCGAGGAGCTTTGCGGGCGGCGCGCAGTTTGAATCGGCGTGGGGCGGGGCAGGGGTGTCCTGGCCCCGCGTCATGGCCGCCGACCTGGGCGAGCGGCTGCGGCAGAGCAATGCCCGCTTCGTCGCCTCCATCAACCGCATCTTGGAGTGGGTGAGGCCTCCCCTACCCTACCCTCAGCCTCCCGGCCGGCCGGCACCGGGCGTCCTGCTGGCAGCCCGGGTGCTTGGGTACCGGGACGGGTGGGGCTGCTGTATATATATAAAACATTATATATATATATATATATATAAGATAATATGTTATTTATATATTAATATATGTAAATATATTAATTTATATATATATATATATATATATATAAAAATTTATTTATTTATTTATTTATTTATTTAACTCTTTATCTTTCGTGGAATTCCTGTTTCCAGGTCGCTGGCTCCCGGCTGATGCCAGTAAGGCAGCATCACGCTGTCAGTTTCATGCCTGGCTTGAAACAAAGTTGTTTAAAATGCCTGTTAAAAGCCTTGTTAACCATTTGTTCTAACCTTGAGTGGTTCTTTTTGTTTAGTATAATCGTCCTTTTGAAGATGATTTTCTTATTTCTATGGAAACCCTCACTTTTGACACCCCTGATGGTAAGAACCTCTTCAAGCTATGCTACTTCACTATGTTTAGACTTAGCGAAGCATACTGCGTATTACACAACTGCAAGCACTTACATAACATGAGATTTCACCAAATATCGAGTGTTTTGCACTCAGGTGTGGTATCTCATCTGTAAACTTTGGTTAGAAATACCTGGAGAGATGGTTCACACGCAACTTCTTAGTCCATCGTGTGCTCCGTTTTAGGCAATGGAAAAGAATTAGTAGCAAAGTACAGGAAAACAATGGATAATGTTTGAATAACTTGGAATGAAAGAATAAAAATGGAGAAGGATGAGAGGAAGCAAAGGAACAGAGCTAATAGCAGGAAGTTGATATGCATGATTGGATATTGTAGTTTCAGGTCCGCTTAGCATTCTGAAGGCTGCTGTAAGATGATAAATTTCCAGCACGTCAAATGTCAGGGTGGAATGGGTAGATAGTGTCTTCTTTAATTTTTCATTGAATGTTCATGTGGTTAGCATAAATCTATAAGGTGTTATGCCATGGCATATTTTTCTAGTGTTTGGTTATAACTGTCAATCTGTTACACAGTGAATAATACTTACGAAGAGCTTATTGAGGGGAAAGAAACTTTGAAAATTGACTTCGCTGAGTTTCAGCGGGAATTGTGACTTAGTAGTTGAGTGGCATTACTGCAAGATGAAATGTTCTGCCAGTTTTTATCCTTAGTGAGGTGTGGATTACGGTGTGTAATTGCCATGTCAATTCTCCTAAAGAACAGCTTCCTACGCATACCCAAGAGGTACTAACGCAGGGTCAAGCCCAATGTAATTGTTGTACCAAATATTTACCAAAGGCTGGGGGCGGGGTGAGGTTCCTGCATACATACAACAGTGTAATATAAAGTCTTGGATTTGAAAAGGCTTGGTTATGGCTTTGATTTAGTAGCTTCTGTATATGCTTTCTGTGAATATGGATCTTAGTCCATAAAGCCTTGATTATGGTTTTAAATAACTTCAAATGCCATATAGCCTGCATGCGCTAAGTACAACTTAATTTTTTCAGATAAAACAATACATGTTGTTTTTTTTTTTTATCTTCATAATATCTGGGTTGTTAATGTTCTTAGGTTTTAGCAGAGTGTTGTTAGACTGATTTATTTGATTCTCTTTTACTTTTTTTTTTTTTTAACCAGCTTCTCAATTATGACTTGAAATTACAGTGTTATCTTGTTTTGTGTTCCTATAAGTTTTTGTTTCAACAATTGGATTGGTGATTGTTTAGATTCGGTAATGTTTTGTTACTATGTAATATGTTCTTTCTATGTGTTTGTTAGAGTACTACTCAGTATAGATAAATAGTGTTACAAGAAAAGCTGTTTAAATAAACATCTCTTGTTATTTATAGGACCAAAACAATGGGGGGAAGTATCAAACAAGAGTCTTAAAAAATGGAAGAAGAAACTACTTCAGGTATCTAATATAGTCCTACTATGCAGTCAAAATATAGTAATATTTCTTTAATTTTTATTCTGTATTTTATATAGGAATAGATTCTAATCTTGCTATGCCATATAATACTTGCAGGAGGTATTAATGAAGTCACTAAGTACCTTAAAATAGGGTTTTAGGGTAGATTGCTTAAGAACATCAAATGAGATAGATAGAAATAGATAATGTATTTATTACTGGTTAATACCACTTGTTAATACCACTTGTTAACCTGGAGAAGTATTTCCCATATGTAGTGTTGTGGGCCTGTTTATTGTATGCTCTTTTTCTAAGAATTCATGTTAAACAAGCAGTCACTTCTTAATCTGTTCCCTAAACTCTTTTGTAAGAGCTTAACAGAGAATTTGGTCAAAAGCACTGTGTTTCTCAATAACCATATAAAAGTCACCTAGCTGCTCTGTTCCCTATGTTACCTGTCAATAAAGTAAAGCTGAGTAGTGTGCCTTACTAGTTAATGCAGAGGCTGTTCTGAACCCCATGGTGTGAGGAGTGAAATTCGGTCTTGAGGTGTAAGTGGATTTAATGGCGGCAAATGTGGCTGTGTTTCTCTCCTTTTGAACTTCTGGGAATATCTTGTGCATCATCTTCTAAGCATTGCAACAAGTGGCTGCACAACTTTACAGTCTAAATCCATTAAGGACTGTAAGGATTCTGTTGTAGCCTCTCATGCGTGTGAAGTCAACTACAGCTTATGTTTTTGTAGTGCTTTTAATAGTAACAGCATGGCAAGAATTGAATGACAGGTATGTTTTACCAAGTATTTGTTGCTTCTCTGGTCAGATGATGCAAAAACTGAAGGAAACTGAATGGTTATTTACAAAGTGACAACTTGTAAGATATACCAAAGAAAAATGCTTCAGTTATTATTCTAAGGTTCTCCTGATGTTTTTTTTTTCCTCTGTTTATAATTGCAGAATCAAACAGGAAGTCAAAGGAATACAGGTAAAGTGTTTGAAAAAACAAGTGCTATGAATTATCCAAAAGAGTCTTGACTTCATAGAAAATATAACGTTTTTATGTCAAATTCCTTAGGATACTCACTGGTTTTAAAAAACAAACAACAAGCAAAAAAATAAACACATCAACACTTAGGTGCATAAGGATTCTGAAATGTAGCCAAAAATCTTTAAAATGAGTAATTTATAATTGGTGTTGATATCATCACAACTCGCTTTAAAATTTTCTCCCCTTATCAATTGTACAGACAGTTTTCTATCTTGTATTTTTAGCTTTTGTCAGACGTTCTTTGAATCTAAAAATCCTACCCTGAGTTACCTGGGTGTGCATACAGAAGAATTTATAATTTGCTAGCTTTCTGAAAATAACTAGGCAAGGCAAGTAGACGTATTCAAAAATACGTGTTGAAAGAATCCCGTGAAGTTGCATGGTGAGTGATCACAAATTTAGCAGATTGTTCTGTACACTGAATGAATCGGACTACCTGCAGAAAAAGTAGATGTTTAATTACAGATCAAGTGTCATGATGGAAATTAAATCAAGATTGCACACGAATTGTTCTGATACTACTTAACATCTGAAGATTATGCTTCTCCCTTTTTCCTTTGTTCTGAAAAGAAATTCTGTGTTCCAACAAAATAAATGTTTTTTTACTGGGATAAATGATGGGGGAGACATGATATATAGTGCAGTAAAAGTATGTTGGGCTTTGTTTTATTAAGATGTTAAGGATCTGTTGTTTATTTTATTGTATTCAGCCAAGAGTCTTTTATGCTAAATAGTTGGAGACAAAACAAAATGCAATGTGTGCCTCCCTCTCTCCTCTACAATCCTACCAGAAATTTGTCTATACAGGGTTCGTGTATGTATATTTTGAATCAGCCTACAGAATTTAAATGTTGAGCTGGGAAATAAGGTGCTGCTTCAAAAACACGGTCCAGACTTTTGACTGAAATTTTTAGGAAATGTGTGCCAGTCATTTTCTTACTACATTCTCAGAAAGCAAGAGCATCTAGCAGGTAGTTTTTTAAAAGAAAAGTACCTGAATTCTTCTAGAGTTTTTTTGTTTGTTTTGTCTGTTTGTTAGTCTTCATTTTTGACCTAAGGTCTGAATGGTGTTGAAGTTCTTATTAGAGCACTTTACCTCTTGGAGGATTCTTAGTGCTACAAAAACCAGATCTAATTAATTGTATATTTATAATACAGAACACTATATGGGGTAGAGGAACAGAAGTTTGATAGCCTAAATACTTTTAACAGCTTTCAATACAACTCAGCAGTATTTATTATTTAGTTGTTATATATTAACCTAGAAATTCTGCGATTCTGTGATTAGTTATGCTTTAGTTGTCATAGAGAAGAAATATATAAATACTGAAGGTGGAGAAATAACAGAGGTGTTAGCAGTGGTTGGCATACGGAAAAACCTCTTCTTACACATTGTTATTTATATATGCATATTTCTATATGCTCTTAAAGAATCTCGTTGATTTTGTTCTACTTAATGCAAGCCATGTCTTGCATTGACCTTTCTATTTCAACACAGAAGTACATGCTGTAAGCATTTGAACTGGCTTGTTGTGGTTGGTGTTAATAATAAAAATACCACCAACAGGTTCTGGCTATGGATTATTGAAGCTAAGCATGCACAATTTACCTCATCTTGTTCTGTATTCTTAGATTTTCCTGACCATGTGTTTTCAAATAGGTTACCTAAATGTGAAGTGTGGACATATAAAGCATTGTTATAGTATCCAAATATTTATGATGCCCCCTCTGCCCTTTTTGAATTATTAGTGTTGTTTCTTCAGTTCTCAATTCTGAGTTTTGCTAGACTGATTTTCACTATTCAGATAAACAGCCTGGTAGCCCTATGAAATTTTACATGCTCGCGTGACAATCCTTTAAGTGGTTTTTGTATGGCTGTTCTGAGTATGGGAGAACCTTCTGTTAAATTTCAACGTACAGGAAAAGCAATATTTTGGTAATGTATTATTGATATAAAACTCGTTCTTTCCTTGAGCAGAGAACTTTGTAAAACAGAACACCCTCTGTGGCGTTTCATACTTCTTGCTCAGCAGGGATTTTAATGGGTCATTATCGTGTTATCTTGATTTTCTGTGTTCCTGGCTCAGACACATCAGAAAAATGCTTTATTCAGCTTTTAAAAACATATTGCTAATGTATTATGAAGGATGCTTTACTGGAGTTTTTATGTGTAAAATAGTGGAGATCAATTTTTTTCCCATTATGTTTGCATAGTGTTTTGGCTAACTGGACGGAGTCAGAAAAAGAAAAAAAAAAAAAAAAGGAATTAAAAAAAAAAAAAAGACAAGAGAATCCCTAGGTTAAACATATTAGAAAAGCTTTCCAAACGTAAATAAAAGAAAGCCATGACAGATGTTTCTTAGAGATTATGGAGTTGCTCTTAATGGGTTAAACTTCTAGAGACAAGTTAGGCATAGTTGTTCCTGCTGTAGTTGTTCTTCTGAAGGGCAGAACGAGTAGATGGCATGTTTAGGTTCCTCTTCATACACTTGAAGCTTTTAGGAAACAGGAAATCTTTAGATATCTGCCTAACACTATTAAATAAATTGAAGTATTTACAAAAGTAAATAATATCCATGTGCTTCAGTTAGATGTTAGATACATCTCATTACCACCTAGAGAGGGAGGGTAGAAAAAAATGTAAATTCCTTGTGCTATTTGCCGTCAATTCATCTGGAAACAAATATAGAGGAAACAAGAATAATAAATTCTACATTGAGCAGAAATTTCTTTGATGACCATCTTGAGTAGTATAAGCATATCTGCTAAAGCACATAGGCTCAGAGTTAATGTAAATGATATATCACGTCCATCCATGATAAGTCCCTGCTACAGTCTTAGTATAAGCATGTCTTGTACTTGAAGATACAGATCCTGTCTTTTGGGGAAGATCCCGTTTCTGTAACTTGTGTGTTATGAACATTAACTAGATGTAGGCAGTAATTCTTAGGTGCACGTCATAATCATATGGTCTGTATACAGACTCCGGCATTGTAGCTTGTGGATCCCCTTTTTAAATCTAACAAGATGACAGTTAGAAATGTAACTTTTTTCAGCACTGTCAAAACAGTTTTCAGTCTTGAATAATTTTAGTAACAACAATATCTGACTTAGAGGCTAATTGTAAAATTAGCTTATGCATAAGTAAGATTTGTTTGAAGACAGCTGCTTCTCTGTGGGTCTAATGTTTTGATTTTATTGAAATCAGCTTGAGTACTTGTATTGTTATAGTTAATGTAGAATAATATATAGATTGAAATGTCAAAAGGGGAAATCAGCTTAATGATTTTTAGTGAAATATGGAACATCTTAGACTGTTCTTTATATTTCTTCTTATGAAATAAATGGAGAAAATAAAAATAGATCGCTGGTGGGCCTATCTGTAACAGAAGGCAGGCATAACAGTTTTAGAAGGCTTACTTGCCAAAAAGGATGACTGAGTCCAACTCCTGGCTCCACACAGGACCACCTAAAAATCAGACCCTGTGTCTGAGAGCTTTGTCCAAATGCTTTTTAAACTCTGTCAGGCTTGGTGCAGTGACCACTTTGCTGGGGAGCCTGTTCCAGTGCCCGACCACCCTCTCAGTGAAGAATCTTTTCCTAATATCAATCTGAACTTCCCTTGATGGTGAAATAGAATCATAGAATAAAAGACTGGGGATTCTACCCCCATTTTTCAGGACTAATTAGTCTCTTTCTCTCTTCTCAACATATTCCATGAAAGTGCGCAAAAAAAGTTGTAGTTGTCTTTCTTTTTTGCAAGTCATACCAAAAGGGACGAATTTCTTTTTCTGTGTCTCTTCATAGGTTAAGAAGAAAATGGATAGCATTTTAGATGTATGACTGTGATCAGAATTACTCTACTTTGTTTGATGATAATGTTGTTCTGTCACTTGTCTGTTCTTTGCTTCGGTTCTCCATTTGTTAAATGTTTGAGTTAAATATGTTCAAAATATGTGTTTTATGTATAAAAGGAGAATTCATGAGTTCATGTGCAACATTGATCTGTCAACTATCTAATGGGTGTGTATTTTTTCTTCCATATGCACACTAAGAAATGTCAAAGCAACATGCTGGTGATTTTGAAGATGGACATTCGACAGTACATCAAGTATGGGTGCTCTATTTCATCTACTTTTTTTAAAGCCTTGTTAGGAAAAACAATTACGTAGTCACAAGCTAAAAGCTAAGAAATTATTGATCTATGAAACTGTGTTTAGAAGAAAGCTAAAAAATTATTGGTCTATGAAACTATATTTAGAGGACTTACTAATTGCTGAATTAATACATATTGTGATGGTGAATTTGCATTTTGTTGTTTCCTATGTCCCTGTTTGTTCAGAATATAATCCTTCCATGCTTACCCCAGTAATATTTTGGGTGCCTCAATTATTATTTGTGGTTGATGCAGGAAGAAAATCTAGCTCTAATATTTTGAAGGAGCCCATAGTTGGACAGAAATAGCCTGTTTTGTGATTAGTTTTTCTTTTCGTTTTGATGGAGGTCTCAAAGAAGATTGAAAGACCAGTATTTGTACTTGTCTAAAACTGCAGTGACATAGGATAGTTTGTTTTTGAGCAGAATCCATGTAGTAGTACACTAATAACATTCTTTATTTCTACTAAAAGTTAACAGTTTTATTTTTGTTCAATTTTTGATGAGTAACACGTGTTGGTTTTAGTAGTTTTTATGTATGTTTCATAGAATTACATGTCGCATTGTGATATTAGGAGTATCAAATATCAACTCTGATATAAGCCATGGATTTTAGCTGAATTCCTGTTTGAGGTTTATTTAAAGTAGAAGATAGCATTTAGACATAAGCTTTAAGCTATCAGATGCCTTCTTAGTTAGGCAGTGCGTGGCTAGCTTTTTTTGTTAGTACTTGTAAACTCTAAGTGTCTAGAGTAACTTCTTCAGATGCGTGATTTTAAGGAGAAAATAGTCAGGATTTGAAGAGTGTTATAAAGAGACTGATTGGTCATTCACTTTTTTTAAAAAGAAATTCTGGCGAATTCTGTTGAGATGTGGGTTGTAAGCATTTTGAAAAAGTTTTTTCCATTCTAAATAAGTATTTATGCAAAAAAAAAAAAAAAAAAAGAATCATTATATAGAGAACTGCTTTGAGTGGGCAAATTACATGGAAACAGAGAAAACCCTGAGTACTTCCTGACTTCCTGGTAAAGTTTTGGTAAGTAAAATTAATTTGTCAATTCTTCTTTGTTCTTGTTGCATAATAGCTTCTTATTTTTTTACATTACTCATCTGAATATAGAAGGGCTGATAAGAAAGTAGTTTTCCCCATTGTATAATCAGATGTGAAGTAAGACAGATTTGTGTATAGGTTCGTTGATAAAGATAGTGTCATTTGGACATAGTTTCTGGAATGCAACTGTTTTGTTTTTTTTTCCCAGGTAACAAGCAGGGAATTCTACAGGCTAGTTAATATAGCTTATGCTTAACTGCTTAGTCTTAAAATTGTTTTCATCTGCTTTTAAGGATTTTCCTGAGAATTCTTCTGTGGATGTATCCGACGCAGGTAAGTTTTGTAATTTACTTTTTAATAGCTTTTTGAACAAAAGATTATAAATAATTACTCTGTATAATTCTATGATACAGTAAAAGTAATTTTCATCCATGTTCACAAAGTAGAGAATAACAGGAGACTGAAGTACTTCTAATGCTATGAATGTCCACATTTCTCTTTAAATCTCAGTCCTGAATCCCTGATATGCTGAAAATCCAATGTAGAAGATGTTCAATTGCATTTTCTTAATAAATTGAAAGGAACGGTGACATCAGGAGTTTTGCATGAGTGGAAACAGGACATTAGTTTCTACTGGCCCAGTTAACAAGAATACTAAATTCAACTGCCACTATGTCTTCAGGAGGCTGGCTATATTTTATTTAACATTTGTAAGTTTCAGTAACAGTCTTGTGGCCTGTCTGCAAAGCTTTAGTGTTTTTAATCTTGTATTCCCAAATAATTACTTGATTGTAATAATAATCTTCAACAGTTTTAAAAATACTTCAATATTTTACTGCACAATAACTTTTTGATTCTCATTCGTGTAAAAACATACTGTTTTCCATAAATTAAATTAGGACTAGGTGTACCCTGCATTTAATGATTTAAAGAGCAGTTTAGCTACTTTAGCTAAAACTTTTTTGGTGTTGTTTTTTTCATCTTTAATATTCTTATGGGATGCTTCACACTCCTAAGTAAAGGTAGTGATTCTTCTGATGTTATACGTTATTCTTATTCTAAAAGTTTACAAAAGCTGTCAACAGCAGCAAGTACAAACAAAGTAAAACAGCTCTCACCTACACCTGTAAGTATTGGTCTACCCTTGATAGGGAAAATGATTAGGACCTACCTCCTTTGGTTTCACAGGAAGTAGCATAGCAAAGCATAGTGATACTTGAAAAACCTGTTGCATCTGTTAGGATCACAGAAAAATCACGTTATTTGGAGAGAAAGGGGGAAGTTGAATCCGAATTATCTAAGCTATAATACACCCAGATAAACAGAGGATCATATCAAAGTCAAAACTTAAATTTGGCAGTAAGCCCCTCACTGAAATGTTCATCTCTTCAGTATGGTAGATCTTTTAGGTAATATTAATATATTACATGTGCATTTACAGTGAAATAAGTTCCTGTATTATAAGACAAATTTTCCAGAGAGAAATGGGCGTTTTTGTTTTAATTTGCTTCTGCATTTGAGGAACAAAGGTGTTGCCTGACTTCCCTCTTGGCCCCCTCTTGGCCCTTAAACACCTTCAGATGCCCTGGAGCAAATATTTCACTTCCTTCCATTCTGTGCTGTACCGTGGTTCTCTACTGATAATGTTCCAGTGCTTTGACTTTTTTGATTTGATTGCGAATACAGTGAAGATGTACCAAAATCACATTTTTTTGAGATTTCGTTTCTAGTAGAGTATTGAATTAGTTTACAGACCAGCTCATTCTATGATGCAAACTCTTTTCTAATGTTCAGTGATTGGCATGAAGGAATGAAACATTCTTGGACACTGGAACTGTTACCTTTATCTCACAGATTATTCTATACTTGTAGTAGTCTAGTCTGGTCATTTCAGTGACTGTTTAGAGAGCAGTCTGCCAATTTTGTGCTTAACTACTGGGGAAGAAAACTATATAGCAGAAAAAGAGTATCATCTGTTACAAAGGAATAGGTGGGCAAAACTTTTCCAAACTAAAATATTAAAGTTCTTACTAATTTCTCTAAAATGGATGCTTAGTAACTGATTTACTGTGGATAAAATGCCCACAACTGTGTCTTCTATTAGTCATGTGGGTAGAAACTGGCAACCTGGCAGGTATGGGTTTCCATTCTAATGAAATAGTTCAACTCAGGTTAGACTGTCAAAGCCAGCCCTCTAACCGATCAACATTTACACCAGTGGATACAAAATCATGTAGCTCCTCTAAAAACAGTTTATTTCGTATGAATCTTTATCCTAGCTTTATGATGGCAGCAGCCCACAGAGCTTTAGGTGATGACTGCAATGACAGGGAATGTAAAAGGATTATGGGATTATATGGAAAAGATTTTCATTTTGGTTTAAGTGGTTTAAAAAAAGTATGAAGGGCCAATTATGTGCTCAATATTATAAACAAGACTTTTTTTTTCAGTAATTATTTTCCCTTTCAGGGTTATTCTTCCCTCTTCTTTCTTTTCCTGAAGTAAACATAATCATGGGACAAATACATAACAGCCAAGGAAATTGAGAAATCAGGGCTTACAATACAGTCAAATGTTCTGTTATCATGGAAGACTGAGGCTAGTAATTAATGGAAACATCTGGCTACCTCTAGCAAAATCGTTTCCAAAAATACTTGTAGAATATCTAAAAAGTGAGTTAGAAGTTTTAGACAATTCTAAGGCTGTCTTGATAATAAGAAACTAAGAAAAGGATCCATGGGTGCAAGCATGTAACACTGTTGTAACTTATTGTTGTTGCTGGAATAAGTAGAAATGTAGAAGGATGAAAGTGGGAATGATGCGTGAATACTCCTGAAGAGCAGTGCTTTGAAAATATTTTACTTTCTGAAATGGCTAGCATATGTCTTGAACTGGTTACAGACAAGTTATCTTAATTTTTCTTTGTTGCCCTCACAAAATTATTTATGAGTCAATAAATCATGTTTTTTCAATTTGATTTTAAAAGGAATGCAATACAGATAAAAAGCCTTATAGTAGAAAACACTTTTCTGAAATGAAACCACTTGAGTTACTAGTTGTTTCGAAGCATTTCCAAAAAAACTGATTTTGGTTTTGTTTGAGTTAAACTACGTTTTTAGTGTTTATGTTCAAATTGCAGATGTAGAAAGTGATGCTGATCTAGTTACAGTAAGAAAAAGATTTGAAGACATCCACTTCCAGGTAAAAATTTCTGGTGTTTAATATAATGGAATAAGTTCATGTTCAATAGAAATAATTGAACTATTCGAACAGCGTATATGTGCCTGAAGAGTTAATGCACTGACAGTATAAGACTCTGCAGTCTGCATCTTAATGCACGTTTATTGTCAATATAGCAAATGAGACATTCAATAAATAATGTCATGAAGAATGATATGAAGTAATTATGTATGGTTTTCTCTAGTATACTTATAATCCCAAAACATCAATTTATTGTACAGAACAGGCACTTCTGATAAAATTTATTATGGGTATGCAAAAAGAATAACCAGAAATAATCACAATGTGAAGACACTTTAAATATGATTCTTTATCGTAGATTCTCTCAGGAGAACAGAGCAACATGATTTTAAAAAGCAAACCTTAAATAATGACCATCATAACAAAAGCAGAATGGAATATTCTGCTGTTGTTTGCCAAAGCTAGACTATGGGTATTAGGACTACCCAAACAGGTTACAGTGGTGAAGAAAAGTACAATATATGCTTTGTGTGTGAAGCCATTCTAATCCTGTATTCAGTTTGTAAAAATATTTACTTTCCTGTTTTGTTTAGCAAAAAACAAAAGTTAGTTCCAGGCGTTTTCATGTCTTTGACCTTAAAGAGGTAGCATGTGCTTTTCCTTGGATCAATTAACTAGCTAGTTATCTTTCTGTTTTCTGCCATAGTTCCTTCTTGAGTGTTTTTTTGTTTGGATGTGAAATGTACATTAAATAAATAAATTTTATGCAGGCAGGAAATCTTTATCAAATAACACCAGTTTGAAGCATATCTAAGTAATGCGTCTGTGTTCTTTTGTATCAATACCTTTTATGTGTTTTAATCCTTCCCTCCCGCCCCAAGAATCTGGATGTAGATAATGTGAAAACACCAGAAGAAGTTAAAGTTCAAGTGGATGTGATAGTACAGGAGGATTCAAGAAGAATTCCCAAGTGGATTACGGTAACATACTTTCTCCTGTTCTGTTAGAAGTTATTTGCTAATTAGAACAACATAATGACTCTCTAACTATGCGCAGCACAATGAATCATAATATAACTTGCTGCTCTCATTATTGCAATTCTTCTGTTTGCTGTCTACATAAATATCACAGTATTTCAGATCTATGGCAGCAACAATTATAAGAAAAGGAGCAGACAATATGCAAATGCTTCTTTTTCAAGTTCTATGCTTTGTTCTTTTTACCCTGATGTGTGAGTTGGGTTTCATTTCAGTAAGTCTTCTGAAATGCCTAAATATTGAGGTTTGTAGAGGGGGGGGAAATAATTGAGCTTTTAAATTTATTTTCTTTACATTACATACTACAGCATCTATTTCCTACTCAAGTTGCCAGAGATACGTGAATTATTCATATTATATATATATATATATATATAATATAGTTTTTTATATATACATAAATATACATATGCATACAATCGAATATTTAAGAAAAATGAATAAAATATTATATACAATGTAGAATTTGCAAAAATTATAATAGCTTTCCAAGACTAAACTTGTCATTCTCAAGAATTCTTACTGGAATCTTAGACTAGGTTTTTTTTTTTTTTTTACTTCTTTTTAATTTTACTTCACAGGACCAAGCATAGTAAAGAGAGGGTAGAAGGATTCACAAATAAGATTTTTATATTACCTTTGACATGCGAAAATCGAGGATGAATTCAGGATTCATGTATTTTGGTTTTTATTTCACTTACTTATTCAGGCAGCACCTCAAGGACTGTCAGAAGATCTTCACTTAGTTTCACCAATGCAAGTAATGACAGGTACAACTAAATCTCTTGTCTGTGGGTCGAATATGATAGTTATGATTTTTTTAATTGAAATCGATTAGAAATAAGTATTTAATTTATTGAAGACACAGGGACTAGTTAACCAACAGACCAGTTCTATAGGCATATTTCTTGCCAAGAAGTTAGATATGATTTTGCTTATGGCAAACTGTAATTGAAAAACAGAAAATAAATAGCGTGTATGCATAAAAGCAGCTTTTGTTAAACAACCCCAGAAAAATGCGTAGTTACAAAATTCAGCAGAATTAAGTTCAGTTAAATGGAAGCATGACTTTTTGGTACTATTTACTTTAAATTTGAGGAATTGCTTTGGGTCTGCTGTTTTCTGGTAGACGAAGAACTACTTCACTAGCAAGCTTTCTTTCTTCAAATCTCCAAACATGCCCCAGCAAACCTTAGATAGAATTTTGGTGTAAATATTTTAAGCCTAAAGACTACAAAAAACATTACCCTCCTCATGCTTTACTTCAAGGGAAGCTGCACTGGTACTAATTAAGTACCAAGCTTTCAAGTAATATGGAAATAGATTAACAAAATCTGTAGAATCTGTTCCTCCTGGTTAGGAATTAGAGGGTGAAACAATCTGCCTCTACAATTAAGATGTTTTCTATCTTTATATTATTTTAAAATATTTTTTCAATATTTGGAAATGTTTAATTTCCACAGAAATTCCATAGAAATACTTAATTTCCATCATCTTTAATCTGTTAATTCAATGTGGTTAAAAAGATATTTTAATTTTCCTTAATTGTATGTTATCATCCGTTTAGCTTGGCAGAAAAGTTTAATGAAATCTGTTAGCACATAAAGAATATACGTACCACTTGCAATTGTTTGTCATGTAACATGTTACTGAAATGTCCTAATTTTTTTTTTCTGATTTTTCTTTTGCGATTTAAGTTTTCTGTTTGTTTGTTTGTTTTTTGGATAGGCAACCAAGCCAGTGTTTTTGGAAAGAAAGTAGAGCTGAGAAATGCATGTTCTTCATCTAGGCCTTACCAGTTCCAATTTGCTGGTGTCCCCATTTCACCAGATACAATAACTGTACCCAGACTTCAACCTTTTCAAGAAATTAATAAAACTTGCTATGACAGTGTCTTGGAAGAATACCAGTCTGCAGATGAGGAATGTTCCTGGAGCAATATAACTCTTGCAGACTTGTACCCTGCAATGGTAGAGACACTGATAAAGCTCATGACAAAGCAGATTCAGAGAAAAGCATTTAAATACATGTTTGGACACTGTAGGAACAAAAGATGGTGTCCTAGAAGATCAAAGCTCAATGTCACTGTAGACAAAATAAGGAGGTTCAGACCACTTAAACTGAAGAAAGCACTACCCGGCATATGCAGTGGTAGTAAAGACATCCAGAATCAAACTTCAGGAAATAATGTAAATGTGAATAGTGGACCTTGTGATGATCACTGTTCTATTAATAATTTATCTGGTCTGGTACCATATTCTTACCTAGACAGTAGTGGAATGGAAACGGACTGCTCTAATTCAAGTGTAGATCATCATTTGTTATTTGGAAAGGGACAAAACGTTCCTGAATGGACTGTTTTTCCTAATGTTTTGGCTAGAATGGGAGAGACATTTGTAGTTGAAGATCCATTACCGACTACTGTCTCACTGAATAATTTGAAATGCAACCCAAGTGGTAACTTGGCTTACAAATGTTCTTTGGAATACCCTTTTTTAACATCTACTGCCAGTTCAGACTCAACAGCGCTTACTCTGGTAAAAGAGAGTGAAACTCGGAAAATTGATTGTCCTTCTGGTAATACTTCAGGATTTTGTTCATCTACTTGCTGTTTCAATGACAATAGTAGCACTTTTGCACCTGTCACAAATCATTCTCTTGCAAGAGCATCAAATACATTTGTCATAAATCCTCAGATAAAAATTTCTGAAAGAGAGATTTCTTTCCAGCGCAGACACTCATTTTCCTCGTTGTCTATGAAGCACAGTCCTTCCAAGATGCCCAAGAAATATGAAGATGCATTTGAAAAACTCTACTACAAAATGTGTTCCAAAGAAATCCAAAAGCCTTTGACAATGACAAAACCACTTTCAAACTCACAGAAGCCTGAAGAGAGAGGACGATTAATGAAGTATAATTTCAGTGGGTCTGTGAGGTCCAATATACAGTATGACAGAGCATTTGAGAAGATTTATGAGCAATTGTCTAGTGAGGCAGTTTCAAAACTTCCTGGTTTTCAGAGAGCTTCAAATTTAAGGAAATATGAAGGAATACAGGTGTCTGAAACTGTAAATGCTCTTGTTAACTCACCTGTTCGATCTTTATCTGCAATTCCCAGAGTTAAAAGACTAGGAAATTTTCAAAATGATCTTCTTTGTTCACCAGTAAAGAGACTGAAAAATATACCTGAACCTTATTTTTTTCCAACAAAACATCAGCAAATTTCTCACAGGAAAAACGCAAATCTTCAAACAGTTGATGTGGATTTTTTGAGCCCATACAATGGCAGTAGCACCAGCTTTTTTAACAGTCGCAACTGTCAGAATCAGGTATTGTGGGACATTATAAAAAGTGATTGTGTACTGTTTGCTGATATTTAGAGAAATACTTTAGAAATGGATTCAAGCCTTTAGACGGATTCGGTCTTTAGTGACCACGTATTTATTTCCCGTGCTATTTGGGTGGAGTTGTTTTGTGAGCTTGGGAGGATTTTATTTGCTAAACAAAATACAAGTTGTGTCAGGTCTCCCAGATCCTGTGAGGAAGCTCGCTGAATTTATTGACACGGAAAGTGGTTTTAAAATGTTCAGCAAAGGATTTTTTCTTACTTTTAATACTCAGTCACTGGTTAAAATACTCTCATACAGTGACTGTTAATTAACAGATTATCCTTCTGAAACTATTTTTTTTTTTATTCATTATATACACTAGCAAGGTGAGACCCAAAAAAAAAAACTCTTTTGGAATTACCAGACTTGTTTAAATCAGGCCCTTATTTCCAAGTTTCAAGTTGTTTCTTCTAAGGCAAGCTGAGAAATAATAATAGAGTGTTTTCATTGATGTGGTATGTTTATGCTTTATTTTCAGGACTCTGGTTTTCACACTTCTTCAGATAGAACTTTTCTTGTTAGTCCTGTTATTTCCCTGAAAGGTTAGTTTCAGAAGCTTTGTGAATTATTATTTTACCAGTCATTTCTTTAAAGGGTAGATCTGTAGATCTTCTCTATAGACCCCTGTCTAGGTGACAGATCTTTTTCCTCTTTAATAATTAGATGTTTGTTTTTCTTTAATAAGTAAGGAGTCTAAGTAGAAAATGGTTTCCTGAATCTCACAACAGTAATTTAAGAAGCTTTTTCTGTAGGAATTTTCCTACTAAACTATTGCTTATTATCTGTTAGTTTTCTTTCCTTTTTTTTCTAACTTTACTTTTCCATATATAAATGTTCTGTAAGAAATGGATAGTTTGTTAATCCTGCACTTGAATAATCAAATGCATGGATTCTTAAGCTTTACAAAAATGTGCAATTGCCTTGTTGCACGCCTATTGTTACTTGCTTAGTGAATCAGATTGTTGATCTGAAAAAGACCACTTTTGCTGAGTCAGGACAGTATCACTTGATTAACTCTGGACTGAAAGACCAGTAAAATTAGTTTAAGATTCTAGATGCTAATTTTATAATTTTCCTTCAATAATCTGATTTTGGTTAAAGTATGTTTTTAACATGATGTAACTTTTTTTCCAGCTTAGTCAAAATTGATTATATTTCTTTTCTATACCTCATTTTTATGAGTTGGGTCATCAAATAACTAATTAACATGCAAGGGAAAATACTGAAGAAGATTACTTAAAAAGTTGTTAACTGATATACAAAGAGAAAATGGCAGAAGAAATGAACTTGTTTGTATGGTTCTTGCCTTGCTGCATTTTCATTACCAATAAATAATTTTTACAAAGAATTTGATTATTTGAGGTGACATATTATTTGAGATGCATCTGATCTGTCTTATTTTGCCTTACTCAAATTTTAATTCCTCATACTCTGTCACATTTTCTTTCTGGAAATAACTATTTCTCCTCCTCATACCTTTTTCTAATGGTCATTAAATAATAAGTATTTGGAAAAAAGTTAGCTTGTATGTAAATATATTTGAGGCTTTTGAATAAAGGGTATAAACTGTTTTTGAAATTAAGTTTTGCCAGAAGAGAATTTTCTGACTGAAGTGGTGATTATTACCAGTGTCTTAACAGGCTAGTATTTTTACAGTGTATTGTATTCTTTGTGCTACTTAGCATCATTCTTACCCCTTTGATACTGTCTTTCATCACCAGAATCTGGGACTGCTGATGCCTCTAGCTGGCATAGGACAACACACAATTACAGCTGTCCTGGAAGTGCACAGAAACATCATCAAAAGTAAGTGCCTTTGGAGAAAAGAAATTTCAGAGGAAATTCAGTAGTGTGCTACATTTATATTAAATGTAGGGGGTTTGTTGCTTAAATGAGTGCATCTATAATGAAAATGAGCATGGATGCTTGAGAGAACGCAAGCTTAAGACTGCACGCTTGAACTTTAGGAGGCAAGTGTGGACAAAACTAGCCAGAGACCACCGTGAGTGGCACTGAATACAAGATGGGCCTAAGGGATCAGCTACTCCAGTTCTTATTTTGTTTTCATTATAGGGATATTTATTATTTCAGCCACTATGTGACTATATAGTTGTTTTGATTCTGGCTGTGTGCTTGAGCTGACAAGTTTTCTCAGATCCTTAAGCTCTGGAGAGCGTAGTATATTGCCATTTAGATGGACTTCCAAAAGCCAGCTTCTGTGCAGTTGGTCATGGTTATGTGCATTTTGGCTCTGTGTAAACAAGCAATGGGTATGTTTGGAAGGTATCAGAGATCCTTGCCTCCTGTTCTGTTATTACTATTGGCAATGTATTGACATCTCTGGATGGAGAAAACTCCTTTCAGCACCCTGGAAAATTGCCTACTACACCCATTTTCCTTAGAAAATATGACTTCTGCAAAAGTTTCTGATCTCTTCGGTTTTCAATTAGTAACTAATTCAATAGATAGCAGGATTAAAAAATATTACAAGTTCTTTAAACAGTTTTATTTTATGAAACATTTCTGACATTCTTTTTGCCAAAAAGTCTGTTTTGGCACCATCAGATACACTGCCTTCCCGAACTTAAAGTCAATAAATGCTTTCACTACGCTTAAGGTGGTCATACAGCTAATACTAAAAATAAATAAATAAATAGAATAAAAATGACAGTGCTCAAATTAAAATTTTGATTTTCTAAGGAAGCCTGAGTGCGCTTTTGAACTATTTGTATGGAGAACTTAATCTGAAAGAGGCTGTATTGTATATCAAAAAAGTCTCCATTTAAGCAAAGATGGTATTAAAACCTAAAAGCTTGCATTACGAGTATATGATAATCCAAATACAATCTTTATTGGCATTATTTCTGATACAGTGGAGGAATGAGCATTATTGGCATTATTTCTGATACAGATGGAGGTGTGTTGGTGACTATAAAAGGATGTTGAAGTGATCTTGAATATACCCACTTAGCTGAGTGCATTTCTGCTCCGTTTTTAATTCCTTTATTTCCTTACTTTTTTCCCCAAGTCCACACTAAATTGCCCTCCCTATTCAATTAGTAATTGTTCTCAAGAAGGAAAAGGTTTTCCTTTCATTAATGCATGCAAGAAGAGAAGTTTGAGAAAGTGTAGGAAATCAGAATGTCACTGTGTGCTTTCTTGCCAAGCCATCTGGAAGAAAATCTATTGCTCTGTTCCTTAATTACACAAACACACGTTTGCTGATATGTAGCCAAAATGGTCTGTCAGCTGGCGAGATTCCTTAGGCCTGTGGTGTGATATTCTTAGCCTTCTATGGTTGAAATACACTTGCCAGGACTGAAGCTCTTTAATGGCTTCAGAACCCTCAAAAGTTTTATGCCTAAGCCAGGTGGCAAAATGCTGTTTGTTGTAATAACTATTTGTGGAGAGGAGAGGAAGACACACTTCTGGGAAAGGAAAAGGAAAGGAGACTTTTCCTGTCTAGAACTCTACTGCCTGTATCTAGAAGCTGATTATGGAAAATACCTTTTTCAGAAAAGGAAATATATGGGTATGCTGTTCTACAACTACACTGCTATACTTAATTGTAAATGTACACCAAATTAGTTTAAAATAGATCTTAAAAAATTAAATGCCATTTCTTAAGTAACTAGCAAAGAAATGATTGTATTCTTACTTGTATCTTTAATTTTTAGCTACTTCTGAATACATTCAGTGTTTGCATCTGAAAATTTAATACATAGTTACATTAACGTAATTTAGGTTAATATCATAGCTTTACTGAGATATTGAAATTGACATAGGATGAAAAGCTTCCTCTTCAGCTGAACACGCATAGGAATGCAGGCAAGGAGTCCTGCTACTGTTCACAATCAAGGTGTTCATGTATCTTGCATTAGTGTGTTGTTTCACTTTCATTCTGTTCATCAGATAGTCAGCAAATACAGTATTTTTGTGTAATTTATTTTATGCTCTAAACAAATATTTTTTACAGGGTATCAAGAAAACTAAGTTACACCAATGGAAAAGACCGAAATCCTAGTAATCCTTTGGATGATGTCCTGGTCAAAAGTCATCAAGGAACCTTCATGGACTGTTACAGAGAAAATATTGTTTTATAATCTTTGATTTGTGTTTATTTTTTTCCAAGAATCACAGATCTATTAATAATTTAAATATTTTAAGTACAAGATCCATACTATGGAAGAACATTATTGTAATATACAATTAGTCCTGATTTGTACTTCCCCGTAATATAAATTCTCAGAAGCTGGTTCCTCCCTTTTGACAGTGTACGCCCTACTCCTTGGGCTTCATCAGGTATTGCAAAGAATCAATATTCCTTTCTATGTCTCAGTTAATTTAAATTTTATATATGGTATTGTTTTTAATAGTAGAACATGATTTGTATTATCTTTTTATCTGCTGAGGAACTTTGCTTTTTGATCTATTAATACTGCAATTTTAAGTTTTGTGTCTGCTTAATTCCCACCCACCCCCTTCCTGCTTTATTGATGTGTCAGTACTAGATGCATGAAAGAAATCTAAACTGGGCTGGGTGGTCCAAATGCAGTATTATACACTGTAACTTTTCATGTGCCTTCTATGCAGTTTTACTGTGTAATCTTCTAAGTAGCTCACCAGATTTGATTGTACAATATAATTTCATACAATATTAGATTTGATCTCTATGTTCTGACCAAGCTCTACCTGACATACCATATATTTTAAATAAATACATACTCTGAACTAATACCTGTTTTCAGAATTTTATTTTAGGTATAAATTCTCAGGACAAGTTTACAAACCCTACAACAAATACATGACAACGATGTGGCAGGATCCCACAGGCTTTCATTGCTGTGCTCCTTCTTGGCAAGGGGGTGTTTTTTTAGTGGTAAGCGTTAGGTCAAATGCACTCTTTTATCAGCATTGCCCAATGTCAGCTTTCCAGGCTTCAGAAAAGGAAAAATAGTTTTCCTTGACTTCCTTTCTGGGCATGTTTTTTTTTTTTTTTATTGTGTTTTGGTGTTCTGCTGTTTGTGTTTTGCTTGCTTATTTCTTTGTTTTTACATTATTATAGCACTTAAAACCAGATTTTTTGTTACTTTTAAGTGGTGTTGAATGGAACAAGAAGTCAACTTCAGTAATGCTTACTCTAGGGTAAGACAATAAACTTCAGTGGGTGGCTTCTGCAACGCATATGCACACGTTCTCTCCCTCATTGTTCCTATGTTAGGGTCTTCAACAACAGTCTTTTAGAGATGCTTTATGCTTTTGTGGTGGCTCACTTCTGGCCCCAGGTATGAACGGACACTAGGGAAACGCATTATTAACTACCTCTTTTTTTGGGGGGGGAGATTTATTGAGGTAATTATTTCCCAGTATTTCTTGAGATACCACTGCAAAAAGACTGCAAAATTGCACTAATGTTTTCTGTTCTGAAGTAACTCTAAACTGGAATCACTTCTGGACATGTCTAAATATGATTTCTACACAGGTAGGAAAAAAAAAAACAGGGAACCAGGGTAGGAAAAAAAGTTTATTTTAAAGAACTTAGCAATAATTCATTCCACCTATGGAAATGGCTTAGAATTTTAAGAGGTAGTTCTTGGAAAAACTCCTGGTGTTGGAAGATAAGCTCATCCCAGTGCAACTTTTTTGGTTCCAGCAGTAGCAAGGAATGGGAGAAAGTTACACAACTATTTTTGGAATTTGAACACATCCACTTGTTTGTCTTCTGATTCTTAAAAGTGTGATTTCACCAAGGGTCTGTCATGACTGCTGAAGGATACCTGTTCTAGACCTCTGAAAATTTAATGGTGCTACTTGATACTCTGTTTTCATATCTATTCTTGAATTCCAAGCAGTCTTCTTCTGCCACCGTATTCCTATTAGGCTTATTTTTTCACATTTCTACCAAACTGATACTTGAGTCAAATGCTAAGCTTACTGTTATAACGACAGCTTCAAACTGCATCTGTCTGCTTCAAAATATTTGTAAAGAATGCTATAAAAACAGGTTAAGGTACTGAGATAGTACAAAACAAGACCTAGGATCTCCTTTTCTGATTTTGCTTTAATTACTTCTGAAACTCTTTATACAGAATGGATTTAAAGAAACTATACAGAATGAATTTAAGAAATGCATGGTAGCTTACATAAGTCTTTGTCAATGGCTTGAAGATGGAGCAATATTGAACATGCTCTTTCATTTAAAAATTAGTAGTCACTTAAAAACAATCCATGCAAAAAAAAAAGGGGGGGAGGGGAAGGGTTAGTGCCTTATTTAAGCAAACAGAAGGTAGAGATCTGGGGGAATAAAACTGAATCTGGACATGTAGCAGCAGTAGTAATGCCTTGGATTGATAAGCCTGACAAAAGATGATCCTGAAGTTGATGCTGTGAGAGCAGCAATGAATAATTTATTGATAACAGTGATTAAATCGGAAAGAAAGTGTATATTGAAGGAGGATATTTACAAAAGAACTCCGTTCTTTTAGGAAACAAAGTTGTAGGGAAAAACAGCAGATGAATATTTTAGTAAATAAATAGCTGGACTGAACAATGAAAGCTAAGTATACAGAGGAAACTAAATGTACCAAAACATTATGCAGTGGGCTTATTATGTGTATACTCAATGAGAAGTGTATGCTTCATTTCTATTGATATTTTTTCTAATGATCAGTCTCAGAAGTTCTTTGATCTTGGAATTTTGAGAGTGAAGGCATACATGTAATCAAGAGTGAAAACACTGAGAGAAAATTGGGAAATAGCAACTCTTGTACAAAGTTTACACAAATTGTATTAACTGAAAATAATAGCATCCCTTTTTTCATATATGTGTTGGAAAAACAATGACAGTAAGCTCCATGGGACTCTCCTTATATACTGTTTAAGAAAGCTTGTTAAGAAGGCTGTTTAAGAAAGTTTTCACTTCTAATTGCTTCGCAGGGCTGAGTATTGCGTCTGATTGGTGTCAGTTAAATTGAAATATTTTACATATCATTAATGCTAGTCAAACTATTTTGATATATGTCAAACTATTTTGAAGCTATGCAAGAGCTTGTAAATAGCTTGTTTATTCTTCCTTTGCTCCTGCTAAAAAACAAGGTGCTCTTTCCAACCCGATCAAATTAAGGTAGTACTTTGCGCTCTATAATCTTACTGTTTAGCTTTGGATTTTGGATTTGACTTTTGTTGTGTTTTTTTCCCCTCCTTGGGATTTCAGTCAGCATCATCATTTAATATGATGCTCCATTACAGTGATGGTGTACGTGTGTTTTTAATTGATTCTTCACAAATATTTATTCCTGTTTCTCCAATGTTAATCGGTCAATGGCCATGATAACAATCAGTTTAATGCTACTGAGTCTGCCTTGTTTCTGGGATCTAATGGTCAAACATATTGATTTGATCTCTGCACATAAAACTCCATGCTAGTACAAGACACTGAGCAGCTTGGTCTGCAGGGGTTGGGTCATTCATCTTGGTCTAGCATAGAAGTTAAGGCATGTGAGAGAGATCTGTTAACTAAACTAAACTAAATGTGGGCCAGGCTGTCAAACAACTTTTACATTTGTTGTTCTTCATAAATTTGTTGCATCTCTTGACAGAGGCAGCCACTTCTGCTTTTTCCAGAGGTGTTGGCTCTTAATACTATAAGTTGTTTGTTTTTTCTAACTGCTTTCAAGGCTGCTGTCTCCTTCAGGACCTGAGATGCTGTCAGGCTTCTGATGTCCTTGAGCATTTCAAGTCCTTCAAGTATACATTTCAAGTATAGATTTTAAAGGCACTAATATTTTTTTTGAGAAGGCAGAACTTTCTGACATCTAGAGGTAGGCATGGTACATCAGCATGTCTCGTTTTCTGCTACTACTATTTAATGGCTCCCAGAATGTGCTACAAAAAGAAATCCTTACTATAAATTCTTGCTATCTTATGAGTGCAACCAGTATGTAAATAACTTAGGAAATAAAAAACTTTCTATAAAAAAAAAAAAAAAGATAAATGCACTGTAAAACCCTGTAGGAATTTAAATATCAAATATAATTTTAGAAGGAAAAAATCCTCTACAGGAGATTTATTGGTACAGATCATTTGTCAATATCTTATTCTTGAATACAGGTGAATAAAATACTGTTAATAGAGGAATGAAGATTTGATACGTATGTTAATATTGTTCACAGAAGGAAACTGAAGATATCAGTTGTTTTTTTTTTAAATCTGCCTAGATGTACAGGTACTACTTAAAACAAGTTGTTAAATTATTCTGCAATTAGCTTTAAGTATATTTTAATACCGTAGGCTACTGACAGTGGGGAAGTACACAATGTTGAATAGCAGATCAGCGTTTAACTGGGAAAACAACTAAATCGTTAAGTGTACTTGTGCAAAACACCATTTCTTTCCAAAAGTATTGTGAAAACCTATACAGAAGAACAGTCATACTGTGCAGGAGTTCTTAGACAGAAATGAGTAGGTCTTTTGTTACTGTTTGAAGGTTGATGGTTGTTTTAAACGAAGGTTTAATTTTGACTTGAATACCATGTGAATGCTGTGATACTGCTCCTACAATTCCCTTTCAAAACTTCTTCAGGAGGACAGGCCCTTTAAAATGGCAGTCTGGACCTATAGTTAGTTCTTGCTTAGTCCGTGGATTTGCTTGGAAGACAATTTGGAACATTTCACTTACCTGTTTTACACCTATATTTGGTATGTCAGTTTGACAGGATACAATCTTTAATTGTTCACCGTTCCTCCAGAACGACCAAAGCAGATCTCACTTTGTGATTGCATATTTGGTTCATGAAGCTACTTCAAATGTCCTCTCCATCTGATGTATGAATCAAACCCATTAGTCTTATGGGATCGTCATGAATGGCTTCTACGTTTACTGTGTTTTCAGCAGCCAGCTGATCACTGTTGAGGTAAATGCTAACTTTTGAAGTGATAATGGTGGGTTTGGATGATCTTTCTTCATCCTCTACTGAAGGGTCTTTTTTTCTCCTTGGTTTTCTGCGTTTTCCCTTGACACTGTGATCGAGTGAGGCATAACACATCTGATGGTCAGGCTCCACCTAGAAGGAAATTCACTTTGCATTTAACCTTCTGTAGTCATGCTTGATTTAGAATTATGTCTAAGGCTTCCAGTATGTCTGTATTGTTATTGTGGTTGGGGCTGAAGCTTACACAAACTAGCTGTAAATGAACTAATTGAAAGTACAGATGATTAAGCTATGGCAGCACAGAAAACAGACCAACAGAACCTAATGGTAAACGACTCATGTTCTTGAAATAATGGCAGTAAGGAAAAAAATAATTAAGGTATTTTTTCCTCTATGGGAATAAGGATAGCTTATATAATCAGCCCAAGTTCTTTGGGATGCAAGGCATTGTTGGATCTGTTTTTCTTCCCCCATTTGATCTGTTAGAATGCCACTGTTCGCGACAACGGTTTTTGCAGGCTTTGTGTGGAAAACAAAAGCTGGGCAATTCTTTGTTCTATACCTCATCTGATATCCAGTGCAAAATGTATGTTGTGTATGTGTGTATCCACTGTTACTTTCTATATGTTTTTCAAGTCAAATTGTTAAGTGCTTTTGGCATTGGAATTTTCATAGATGATTCTGTTTCTGTGAAGTTTATGTTAACAGATCTTTAGATAAGAAAGGATGTGTCTTCCCCCTGGAAGCATCCTGAGAGAGAGAGAGGCTGGAAATAACTCCTTATGAAATACCTGGAAATCAATTCAAAAATTGATACTAGGAATGCTTCAATTACAGAAAAATTTCAATAGAAGCTTGTATGCTTTTAGGTATCCAAGTAACAACAAGATAAAAATCAATAGAAAATCAGTTGTCTTTCATTTGTTAAGGCATAGATTTTTGTGCTGGGCAGGAGTGAGTCAGCCAAACTCACGATTATCATGTGATGCAGTTTATGTTTTCATTTGGTTGATGTCCAAAACAAATACAATTCTTCATATAAACCATGGCAGTAGATGCATGCTTAATTGAGCCTGATCTACATTCCTGTGACTGAGCTTTATTATGCCATATGGATAGAAATGAGCAGTCCATAATTCTCCTGCTTCCTTTACTAATGGCCTAGACTGAACTAAGTGTCAAGTCAGTGCTTAAATTTCCTGATGAACTGAAACACTCAAGCATGGTAACTTTTGTGATGAGCAGTGTAAGAATTTGAGTTCATTATTGTCATGGGATTACCACAAAAAGTCTGAAACAGACCTTGTTACCCTCATTTGGATATCCAAATTTAAAAATGAAGATACCTGTAGCTGGTTAACTGGCATTTGAGGCTGGGACTTCATCTGCTCATAACAACATTCCTCTGTAATTTACCAAAGTAGAAAAATGTTTTAGTTATTAAAGACATCCTACTGAGGATTAAAAAATCCAATTAACAAATCCCCCTGACAGAAGTAACCCCACCCCTTTACCCCCACCAATTTACTTTGATAGAAGCTTATCTTGTTTTGAAGTGACATACAAGTCTCTTACTCTGCTTACAGAGTAGCTTAGAAATTCAGGCACAGATACTCTAAAATGGAAAATAATGTTCTATTCATGTGGATAGTAAGCTTCTATTTATTCACTAAAGGGACATCATTTTAGACTGCTAGAACATATGAGGGTAACTTCATATATCAAAGTGTTTGGCAGTAGAGGTCATCTGTTCAGTAGATGACCTGGTCTTATAAACAGTGCAGTATTTTGGTTTGCTGTTCTACCCCAAGTAGATATCAGTACAGCAATTAAAAGAGGAAAGGATTCCCAGGTTTTCTGAGAGACACAGAATGTGTTGGTCATTTTGCTTTCAATTTCACATTTCTTATAACCACCAAATAGACACGTTTTTAACGTGAGGCTTACCTAAAACTTCTTGACTGAGATTGCCGTAAACTGGGTCATCTTCTGTGTAATGGTCATCATAGCTAGAATGGGAATGAAAAGATATTTTAAAATCACATAATAAGCTTTATTTAAGACCGCGCTATTCTACTTCGAACATTTTACACAAATCTACAGTAAAAGATTGTATATGACCTAAAAAACAACACGAAGAATATCTGGGGCGATGGGAGGTAATAACACTGTATTTGCAGGAGGGGAAGAAAAGGCACTGTCAATATTCTGAAGAGAAATTTATTATCTAGCCAAGGATAGAACTCTTCTTTCTTGTAACTTAAGTAAGTATAAAGGCAGTCTCAAGACTACTAAGCTACTGGTTGATGGAGTTCTAAAAATATTAATGATCTCTTAGTAACAGTGAGATAACTGTGAGAAATGGCCCAAAAAGGACTTCATGGGTAAATGTAACCAATCTCTTGCTTTATTGGCTCACATACCATATAATCATTTGAGAACTATGTCAAACTTTTCTAATTCTGCTACTCATATTTATAGAGACTGCTGTGATAAAGACCAAAATAAAATTCATTCGCTGTTGAGTTACACGCCTTCATCCTCAAGCTAAAGTTCTTTAACCTACAGAAATGTGCTCCCTTTCAGATGATAACTTCATGTGCAGAGGTTGCTTAATCCGTCTGAACCTCTACTTTGCAAGCTAAATTTGACAAGTCTGGGGAAAGCAGGTGAAGGTCAAAGAGGCCCAATATAGTAGTGTGGCACAACAGGAGTGCACCTTTAGAGTCAAACAATTGTTTCTAAGGAGTAGATAAACCTGCATGTGGTTGGGAAGGAGGGATAAATTCTATTTAGCTCAAGCCTGGTTTGATTCACTGAAATCCAATTAACAATTAGAGTATGAGGTACAATCCTGGAGCAGTGGCTCTTAGTTTGGTTCTATCTGAAGGGAACCCTATTCACATCCTCCAAGACCACTTTGCAGTACAATCTAAGGAACTAAATGGTGCTTTTGGGGAGGATGTTCTTAAAAAAGTGCACTCCTGATTGAACTAAAATTCTTATGTCAATGCACCTAGACAAGACCAGAACAAAGTTCAGCTTTGGCTATTTAATGGTATTCTGTATTCCATTACCTGGTGTTTCTTGAGAATGTTTTTAAGCATGTTTGTAAAAACGAGAATCATTAGAGTGAAGCACAGTGTGATCCTGTTCCCATTGCATCCCTATACTGTCACTTGTAAAGAGGATGTAGTGATGCAATCTTAGACTGCTTTTTTCAGTGTTATAATCAGCTGAACAGACAGTAATGAACAGAGGGACTTCCCAATTTCAAGTAAGCACGTCATTGAGGATTGGTTTGAGGAGAAGGACAACAGCTTTTGTATTTTTGTTTCAAAGGCATCTTATATTTGTGTTGAGGTGCCTTCTATCTCTGTTTTCTAAAGTAATTTCATTGATATGGAATAAACTGGGGAGAGATCAGGAGCTGTCCAGCATCTGGAACCGATGCAAACAGACTGATTTAGGGTTTTTGAGTGCAATGTGCGAAAGGAGGTTATGAAAAGTAAATACACACAAGTTACTGTTCCCCAAGTATTAAATATCAGACTGTAATTTCTCATTATTTTCTGAGTTCTCTTTAATTATAGTAGATTCATTGAACTGGAGTGATAGTGTTTTGACTCAATGTCTTGCACTTACTTCAATACATAAAATAATCATATCAGCATGCAGTTATTTATTGTTGATAAAATGACTGGAGTACGTCCCTCCTGTGTGAAATTATTTCCCTCTCCCTTTACAGAACTTTTTTTTTTTTTCCCGTAACTCTCCTGCTCTCCAGTAGTGCCAGGCAGGCCATGTGAGATAATGGATTTCCCCCATGTCTTCCGTCTAAAGCCATCTGCCATAATTTATTGCTTATTTTGCCCTTCTCAGAAAGAAATTTTTTATCCAACTTACCTTGGACTGTTGTCTTCATAGTCTTTATACATTTTAGCTAGAATTTTTTTTAACAAAAAAAAAAAAAAAAAAAAGAATGAATGAAATATGTTATTTAAGAGTGCTTCAGATAATTGTCCTAACTGACACGATTTTGATTTCACTGTACAGAAGTAGGTCTTCCAGGCTCTATTTTTTTAAGCAACATATATGTGTATTATATATAATCCCTTCTCCCAAAAATGTATTATAACGCATGGGATTCATTTCTTTTTTCCTCCTCCTCCTACTTCTAACATATCTTTTTCTATGCCTAGGGAGGTGCATCGTGTTTATATCAGAAGATGGAGGGTTCGTTTGTTTTTTTTACTAGTTGCTTCTGTCTCTGAAAGAGAGATATCCTGTGATCCACAGATGAAGAAACTGAAGCAGAGAGGCAATAGCCACTAAGAGATTTATTGCTAGAGCTTGATTAATAACTTAGGAACGCCTGATTTTCTATCTCGTGCTCCAGGACTCCAGAATTTACCATGGTAAGGCTTTGATACCAGAACACTATAGCGTCAGCCAATCTGACTGCAACCTTGCTCAAGGTTAGTTTCGTAAATGACTGTGATTTTTCATCATATCTACCTAATAACACTAAAAATCAAGACAAAACAAAGAAGTGACACCCTCCTTCCCCTCCCAGAACACTCCAGCACCTCTTTTAATAACCTGTAGTCATACCAATTCTCTTATTGGTGATTACAATTTATAAATATGAGCCTTCTGCTTATGTGGATTACGTATGCATGTAAGTGTTTAAAGTAGTTTGATATAAGTGTTTGCCTGCCCGTTCATATTCATACAGCACAAGGTACAATTTTCCCCTGTAAAGACAGGTTTTCCTGAAGGGTTGTAGTAGGATTGTACAACTGATTATAGAATTATATGCAGAAGATTGGTTGTACTGTCATAGTCGATCACATTAACTTTTTTTTTTTTTAATTTTAACTAAAAACAGAGTATGAGTGTAGTCATCCTCTAACAAAAATAAAACAAATGAGTTCATTATTGTCAGTGATGCTTTGGTTTAAGAGATAGAATCCCATGATGAAATGCAAGTTGGTTTGTTTTGAAAGTAAACTGATTAAACTGATTAATTATGAAATATTAATATTAAATCTTAATATCAATATTAATCTAATTATGAAATCCAACATTCAAATAAGCATTCAGAAATTTGGGGAGGATAAAATTTTCTCAGATGTATTTTGTGTTAGTACAGCTACTTAAAATAATTTTTAATTTAAAGTACAGTTGATAAATAAGTTACATTAAATGTACTTTAAAAAAAATATGAATTAATGACTTTAAAAATACACTATACAAATAAAACATTAGGCAGAAATAAATTTTTCACCCTGTATATTTTCACCCTATATTTTCTGTTGATTTGTCATCAGAGGACAAGTTTGCATAGTGGTTTTTAGCAGTGGGTTGGGCAGGTAATAATCACTCTGTAATCTTACCTGATTCTCCTAAAAATTTTAAAAGTTACATCCTGACAGCTAGAATCGTTCTTGTCAAAGAATAACTTTAAGACTCAAAAGAATAAATCTTTTGGCTTGACATCTCCCAGAAATGATGGGTTTCTCTCAAGGTGCTTTTAAACAGTCAAATTCCTTTCCTTACAGAGACAACATTACTTACTTTCTTGCTTCTTTTTCATATAGTGTGAAATATTCAGTATCAATGAAACAATCAGAGCCAGACTCAGAAAGACCAAAACTCCCCAGACAGAAGGGTGGCATTCCATTTCTGTAACTGAAGGAAAATCATTTTATATTACGTATTGTCTAACAATTACACTGTATTCTTTGTGTTTGGTTGATATTTGCTTTCTGTAATTCAAGCCTTTTGTTGTTTATTCTGTGGCAGCCATTGCTTTATGAGCTATATAATTAATATCAAAACCAGATGCGAAAAAGACAACATCCATAAACTGTTAACAGAGCTGTGGTTTCAGTAAATCAGCCAAAGGCTGGGGTACTAGTTTGCCTGTAAAATGGAGTAAAAATCACAAATTGCTTTAAATAAAATAAAATAAATAAAATAAAATAAAATGAATAGCTTTGAAAGTGTTTTTCTAATTGCCTTTAAAACAAATAAATTAAAAAAAAAAAGTAGCTGGAGCAGAGGTTAGATGACACTGGCAGAGTGAGATTCAATCAGGTCCATAATATCCTTATTTGGCTTTGACATAGCTGAATTCCTTCAGGGGCTTAATGTTTTGCCTACTTTTTAAAGGAAAGCTGAGTAAAGGAATGCATCACTATACATTCACATGTTGCAGGGGCAACAGTGCATTTAATCCTATTGAGAAGACAAAGCGTTGTTCCTTGGCTCACTGACATCAGCTCACCTTCAAAATTGCCCCTTCTGGTTTTTGTTCCCTGATTACATAAAGAGTTGAATGTTGAAAAGCTCTTTTAATTTTGTTTAATTCCAATCCACAGATGTTATGATGATTAAACAAGATAAGATAATCCTTGTTAGTAAGAAACTGTGTCACGTAGACTTCTGTAGCACTTTTCCTTCCTCTCTTGAAGCACTATGAAGCACTTACCTTCTCTCTCTTTTTTTAAGGAACAAAGCAGAACAAATAACCTGTGAATTCCTGACAGCTTTGTAACTGTTTATTCCACATAGTCCTTCCAGTGGCCATTTATTCCATTCTTTCAAACTAAATATCCCATTCCCATTCCTTTATTTTCTCCTAGTTTAGTTCTAGAAAAGTTATTTGAGGGCTCTCCTTTACCGCAATTACGCTTTTCATGTTGAAAGACACTTTTTTGCAATGAGATACATGATTGAGGTATTCATTACAAGAGAGAAAACCCCATGAGATAACTATATATAATTTTCCAGAGGAGGAATTAAGAAAAAGGGAGATTTCACCCCAAGAATATGTAATAACATCATGAGTAACCAGTATTTGGAACCGGGTTACTCTATAATGAGTCACTAGAAAAAAATTGCATCCTATGCAGCCTGCCCAAAACTATAAGAAGTCTATGCCAAAGACAGGAAATTTTAAGTCTCAATGTAGTCTAACTCAATAATCATCCTTCCTTCTTCTTCTGTTCTATCTCTTGTGAAGTGATTGCCTTCCATTTTTCTTATGTTTATTTATTACTGCTTTTCCTAAGACTGTATTTTGTTCAGCGAGCAAAAACAGTATTGTAGCCTGAGAGAAGGACACGTGTACCTGTGATAGTAACAAAAACCCTGTGATTCATTGGAATAAAAACAGGGAGTAGATAACAAATATACAGCTTGGATCTGAGTGTGTACCTTTTTCTAGGTATTGAAGGCTATCATTTATTTGTCTGTTTCAGGAATTCTATTTTCCCTTGGTGTTTCTAGAGAAAACGGAGAATTCTTAATTGATGTGGAAGAGGTAACCAAATTTTTGTGGAAAAGCTTTTTTTTCATATTTCAACTTCTGAGTTATATTTGAATCACTGACTGGAAAATAGTTGATGTTGGAAAAAAAAAAAAAAAAAAGTTGTTTTCCTTTTCAGTTTTAAGTTTAAAATCTACAGTATTTGGGCAATTCCACTTCTCTAGAACTTTTGAAATACTCTAGCAAAACAACTTTTATTTCTAATTAAATGTACCAATGTTTTAAATCTTACAAACTACAGGTCTTTCTTATACTTACTTTGGAAACTTACATAGGTTTGGGGAAAGATAGGAAATAACAGTTTAAATTATCGTTATTTAATTTATTTTAAAGTTGATTGCCCAAAATGCCGATTTAAACATCTGTTGTATTTCAGTAGAATATATGTGACTTAACCTATATACATACACAAACATGTATGTGACGTAAATGTCTTTTTTTTATTTTTTTCTCTTACCTTTGCAATATGAGCTACTTGTTTTTCAGACAACCCTATTTATATTTCAGAAATAAAATCAATCTTCAGTTACCCCATAAAACCATAGTAAAGGCCTTGATCAGACACTCAGGAGTGTCTCTGTGTTTGGCCGATGGTTTTCTAACGTCAGTTTCAAGTTAATTTTAATTTTCAAATACAAAATATAAGAGATTTTGTTTTTATATCTCAGATTTACAGATATACAACTCCCAACTTTCCCCCAGCTGTTCTTTTGCTACTCTTATATTTGTTGCCAATATGCTAGCTATTTACATTTATAATTGCATTATTTAAATATTTACTACTTTGACAACTGCAGTGGTAGAAGGAAAGCTAATACTTTTTTGAAGAGCAGTTTGTCTCCTCAGGTAACTATGCTGCTCTCTCTTTACATTATGATAGCAGATGCAATCTGTGACAGCTAACTGGCAAAAAAAGGTAAGGCAAGTGCGGATGGAGACAGAGATAGACAGCAAGATAAGTTTAATTATAGTTTAGAGTGTTCTGAAATAGTTTTATTCTATTCTCTAATTTTAATTCTAAATCATCTATTGTCAAATGTAGCAAAACTAGATTTACCGTTTTGAAATTATATATTTATTTTTAAGAACCCTTAGAAGAGTTTTCAGAACGTTTCCACTCAACTACCTTTAAACTGATTTAAAAATATATATATATGTATTATATATATATATTATATATATATATATTATATATAGATTTTATATATATAATATATATATCTTTCGGAAAAATATCCTGGGGAAAAAATAGATCCCTAGGAACAGTACACTACTATTCTAATAGGATAAGCCTAATTTCCATCAGAGTTTTCTGTAATTGTCTAAGCCTAAGAGCAATAGTAACTTGCTCATACTGAAGCTGTTCTAAAAGTGATGTGCTCCATTGAAAGAAGAGTTCATCGTATAGCCAAAGGTTTCATGAGGACGACAATTCTAGTTTTAATTCAGGAGAACTTGGGAGGTGGGTACTACATTTAATCATTTGGGAGGTGGTACTTGGGAGGCGGTACTACAGTTAATCATTACAAAGATGCCAGTATTTCAAATACCTAATACCAGAATCTCTCTAGTATTATTGGTGCATTCTTATTCTGCTGTTCTTTCATTCTAGTTTGGAAACGGCATCAAACTTGGATGTCCATCCAAGCAGAGTATCTGCCTCAGGTAATTATTTACTCTGCCTGGATTATTTATTTATTTATTTATTTCTACTTTTGTGACTTTAGGGATGGGGTTACCCAACTCTTTTTAGTAAATTCACACAACAAAATACAGGGAAGCAAAACTATTTCCAAATACATAGTTATTTGTGCTTTTTCTCCCTTTTAAATCTCTTGATGACTTTCTGCACCAAAAAATACAGGACACGGGACTAAATAAACATTTGTTAACTTTTTCCTAGGTTTGCAGAGTCCATTCTACTGTAATTACGGTGGGGATAAATGACAAAAAAGAACAGTCAAAATTAAAACACCCTAGCCTTTCCTGGATGAATTCTGCAATTACTGCAACTTGAAGGAATTAACATAATCATCCTCTCCTAATTGTGTACTTACCTTTTGGTGGAATGGGCCAGATTCAGCAATTTGGGGCTAGAAAGAGATTTGTTTTCTCCTAGTAGCGTGTGTGTAAATGGTAGAAGTATTAAGCTCTGTTCCTTCCTGTTCTAATGTATTTTATTCAGAGAATCTGTCACTAAGCGTAACAGGAGTATATCATCCTTCTACTATACTTTCCTACAGAAAAGGAACAAGAGGTGGAGATTATAGATACCTATCTAGCAAGAGCTGTCTTGCCATCTATTATATCAACTCATTATTCATGTAAGCAGATTAATTACTTTGATCGCTACCAAATTTTAGAAGATAAGCTGGAGCACAAAACACTTTTTCTCATTGTTTCTGTCTGTAAATTTGTCAAAGATTAAACAAAATTATTTTTTCCCTCTCATATTAAATGGTGAGGTAAATATTATTTTGTACCAATGACCCCTACCCAAAAGAAACCCATTAAGAGACTGATGAATGTTAAATTAACATTAATAATGCTTCCACCTGTGTGAGCTTTTAAGACAGGATTAATTCTCTGGAAAGGATTTGTTAAGATGTAATTAATTAATATATAACTAATTGCTTTGTAAGATATCAACTTCATAATTCAGAAGGAAAGAAGCACACCATAAAATAAGAAGTCCCTAGCTCAGTAAATATTTTCAGAATAAAATTGATGTCAATGCTTAGTCTTGATTAACAAGCCTTAGTGCTTTTGCCTACTTAGCTGAAGATTAATGAAGGTTTAAGCTGTTGATGGTGACTCATCCTCATCATTATGTTTATTATTAATAATTTGACTTCAGCACAAAGGGCAACCTTCTTGAAGGACTGGTAATCAACCAAAGTACACTTCTACTGTTTCGTTTTTTGTTTTTGTTTTGTTTTGTTTTTTTTTCAAAATTTATAATACTTAAAAGAAAAGACTCACCTCGTTTTGTTGTTTTTAGGAACACTCCCCACCTCTTTATCCAACTGGAAATCAAGTTACGTTATGTTGGCAGACCTTGGAAGTGCTTTTATTTCAGATCTGACAGCATAAATCTATCTCCAGAGTTGCCATCAGTCTTAAAAGTCTCTAGTTTTTTCTTCCCCTGCATTCTTACAGACAGGAAATGTGGTTCAGGCTTTTTTTTACTAGCAAACTGACGGTCTCCTTGAGTGTACGCCTCTGAGAGGGAATAAAATATTCATATGTGCACTTGCATACAATAACCACTTGTCTTGCAACAGAAAAGCATGTACAGGACTATTAGTTCAATTTTATATGATACAAACCTACTATGGTAATATTCATATGAGACCCATACTGTAAGGCTTCCTATTTGTGCTATGTTTTGTTTTGTTTTGTTTTGTTTTTTTTTAACAAAAGTATTTTGGATGCCTGTTAAACTCAATTACAGAGATGTTTTACATAGGAGTGCTATTTGACTCTTTCCTTCTTGAGGTTTCTAAACCAAGTCTGGAAGTCCATCGCCGAGAGAGCGTACAGTTTAGTCAGTAAGACGACACAGAGGCATGATACAGAAATTACACCATTGCCAGATTTGGAAGGTCAGGTTAAGATATTATAATATGCTCCCTCTGTTCTTTAAAGTCTGTGAATCTGGGCTTACAACTCAAAACAGTTGTGGAAAAATAGGGTAAATCAGCATGTGTCTTACTGTGTGTGTTTTGTCTTTTTTTTCTTTCTTTTAATTTAGCAAAACATGCCTGTGTTTGGCTAGAAAAGACATTTTATTCTCAGAATTGCCATAGCTTCTACCAGAGGAAGCATGCATGTAGATCACTGTTGAAGAGGCTTTCTTTTAACTTTTGAGGGTTTGCGTGCTTTATTCTTTGTTTTCAGAGCAAATGGTTTTATCTCCAATTACGCATAATGTAGAAGTGGGTAGCGTTGGTTAAGAAAAAGAGGTGAATTACGTGACTGTTTGTGTTTTTGGAATACACAAATTGAAAATGTCCTCACTATAATAATCTAAGGAGCAATGTAGAATGTTTCTCTTTGAGAAAGGCTCTTATAGGAGGAAACAATCTTGGCTGTATACGTTTATTTGGGATGTTATTACTTCAGGATATTATTTTTCTATTAACTGCCTTAGATTAATGCTTAAGAAATAATTTACTGGTTTAGCATGTTCTTTGAATGTGCAGGTAGGTGCAGGTTAGCCTTAATTAATATGACATACTCTTCCATTTTAATCCGAAGGCAAGAAAGACCCGTATCTACTCAGAGCTTTATCAGAATGAGGTGCATTGATTATGAGACACTAATATATAGAAATGATTAAAATGTTTTTTGAGGTTATAATTGTCATTTTTCATGCAATTTTTCATCAAGATATTTTTAAATGGTTATAGCTTTGGAGTTTGCCAGCAACTGAGTTTAGACACCTTACTTATAAATGTTGGTAGAATCAAAATCACAGATATATATTTTATCAGTGCTAAAGCAAAAAGCATAGGTCCATCCCATTTAGTTCTATATTCCATTTTTCAGTGAAAGTTCCGTTCAGAAAGTGAAACATCCTATGATCTGTGGTTTAAACCTTGGCTTTCAGCAGGGAAAAAGATACATTTTTTATGAAATGGTGACCACAATTGATACCTTTGAAAGTAAAGGGTTTGTCACGAGCTTAGGGAAGTAAAAGAACTGAACTAGTTATAACAACTGCATTTAGTAGTTCCATGTCGTAGGCTCAAGTGAACAGAAGTGCTGTGAAGCCACATGATCTGAGTATGCAACTCAGAAAGAGACCTCTTGTGATGAAAGAAAATCTTTATTTGAGGAACAAGCTGATGAGAGTGGGAAATACATATTTAATAAATGGAGACAGTTGCTTAATTTCTCAGCTGAGTGTGAGGAGTAAAACTGAGATCTGCTGAGGATTCAGAATAAAATGTTTACCAGCCTGAACAAGAAGCTTACAAGTAATAAAATCCTTTGGAGATAATTAGAGCCATAATGGGTAGGTGAACAGTGAGAATACAGTAGGGAATTTCTAGGTTCGTAGCCCTGGTAGCATGTTAATACATCTGTTCTCCAAGAGCAAATCATTGTTGTGCAGTAGCATCTTTGGTCACAGGAGTGAAGTCTATTGGATTAGACACGAGTTTGATGTGCTCTTCTGGACAGCCTGCAACAGACTGCAAGATCTGTTAAACAGCAAGAAATTCTTCATTGCAGACCTTAAAATCCATTGTGAATATGACTTCTTACTTCTCTTTCCTGTCTTTTATACCTGTGTTAAGGTTTAAATAAAAAAAAAAAAAAAAGAGAGAGAGAGAGTGAGAGAACTAGCCGTCTGCTTAAATTTTTGTTATTCAGGATAATAAAGATAAGGATAAATTGTGCCTAATTTTAGAAAGACATGACATAAAGTAATGTCACTCTATGCACATTTATTGTGTACAAAGATGTTTCCTCTGTTTTTGAAAGTCCCTGAGTTGTAAACTGCTGGGGGCATATTCTGGGGAAGTATCTCTGACCACTTACATACTTATTTGATCTTTGGTAAGCATATGCTGCTGGTGTCTCCAAGATACAATTCTATATCACATAGACAACTGACTAGTTTGGGAATGGTTCTTGCTATACAAGTTCTTGGAAATGGTAAATACAGTACTATTAAATGCGGTTATGCACAGGCGTATAAGAAGGAGTAAATCTGTGCTCAAATAGAGGCAGACAAACAGTACAGTTTGGCAGAAGATTTGAATGATCAAGTGAATCAGAGTGATAGAGCAGTTGAAAAAAACCTGAAAATGAAAAGCTTACAAAATATTATTTTGTTGGCTATTTTAGGGAAAGGCAGGCAGGAGAATCCCAAAGTAGCTATGAAAGATGATGTTTGGAAGGGAAGCCATACTTGGGAAGGGAGAGGGTTGATCTTAAATTTCTTTCTTTGGGCTTAACTGAGTCTTTCTAAGTTTGACAGTAGTGTAGAAACAAAACAATACAGTAAGTAATATGTTACAAATCTTTTTCTTTGTTCATTTTTGTCTTGAAAATATGTGGTGCAATCTACAGAATGGAATAATTAGAAGTCATTGCAGTACCTGTCTTTTAAGTACTCATGTTATAGGGAATGGTAACACACTTACTGTGAAGATTGTTTAACTTGTATAGTAAACAGTTTTGGAGAAGGAGATATGGGACAGCTGCTAAACATGGTAGATATATATATATATATCCAATTTCTATGATGAGGTCACTGTATGTTGCCACAAACATTGGAGCTAAGGCAATGGCTGACCAAGGAAAGACTGCAGAGACCCAGCGGATGTCAGCAAGTTTCCAAAAGCAAGACCATTACTGGAATATATATGTTTAAAGTGCTTTTCTGATTCTGGATGAACTGTGGCAGGATGGAACTTTTTACTGTGGCTGAAATCCATAGTAGTTCCTAGCAGTCTCTTCCAAGCCTGGAATTTGCTCATTGCAACTGAAAGCTTCAAAGAAAAAGAGTTTTCAGCCTTACCAATCTGAAAGTCATTTCACAGTCTGTATTTCCCCTTTCCTCCTCCCCAAGAAATCAAAAAGCCACCTTGATTCTTTCCTCCTTGTTTTCAAGTGAAAAAGTCTTTGCTCTGCCTCTAAAATAAGACTTCTGGGGACTGCCTTACCAGTTTCTTAGAAAATGGGTGTTAAAAAAGAATATAAAATTTTTCAAGTGTAGTCAGAGAAAACAAGAATTTAAAACGCAGTTAGCACAAGGTTCTAATGTATTTGACTTGATAAATCAACATCTCTTATTTACTTAAGAACTCATTCAGTTCAGTACATTTTTGCAATATATGCATGTCACCAGCAAGTTGTACTTTTCTAAGACCTCAGAATGCATACTTATTCTAGCTTCCTGAAGACAAGATAAACTGCACAGCTGACAATAGAATCAGGCCTCAAATACCTACTTTCTCTATCGCTACTCATATTAAAGCCTTTCTTTTAGAAATTATGTCATTTATGATCCTAGATGGTATCGTGGAAAACCCCTTTGTAAGGAAGAGAAGACAGAGAGACTGGTTGTAGTCTTAAAAAATGCAAGATGTAAATGACCTTTCTGTTTGAAGTGGGAATATGTTGTTAATCGTAAGTCTTGTCTGACTCGCTGGGGAAAGCAACTATAGCAAATGCTTTGAGATGATCTCATGCTAAAGTGGTGTCTACTCCAACACTAATCTCATGAACACATCAAGGAAGTAGAACTATTCTTTTAACCTTAGCACGTGGCCCTTTGCTTAGGTTGCAGGTGCAGACCTGGTGCTGCATCTGTAGTAAATATAAAATAGCAACAACGTGAGAGAGGAGAGGGAGAATTTTGAATCCACCCTCAAATGCTTCAGAGAGTGATTCTGACTAATACTGTGAATTTTGTACTTATGGTAAAGTTAATCACTGTCTTTTGTGCATTGTAGATTGTGTTGTGAATTTCGTTGTTTTATCTTAAACCAATGTTAAGCTCAATGTTACCCCATTAATAGCCCCTGAAATTATGGCTCCTATTACGAGCAATATCATGGGTTTCCTGTGGGGAAACCACAGGTTATTTTTTCCGAATGTTACAAAACCTTATTATCAAAGACTGTTAAGAGAGGTAGCAAGAGAAAACTTCTTATCTTGGTAATCCTGCACTGTCAAAATTTCCATTGAAAGCTAACACTGCACACTTGTGCAGCTTTGGGTGGGGTTTTTTGTGTTGCGTGATGTGAAATTGCTGAGCAGAGTCTCTGCATGACTAGCTCAGAGCAAATAGAACAGATGCCCCTTCATCCAAAACCTGCAGAAGTGTGGCCTTTTCACTGAATTCAGTGGATTTTATTTTCTGCTCAGACAGCTGCTCTATTCTGAGAGAGATGTAATCTCTGGTGGTGTTTCTTTCAATAGGCACAAGAAGAACGAATTTCCTAGTAAAGTTGCTATAATCCACTTACCTGGTTTTAGGATTTTTGTAATTCTCCCTTGACATACAACCTTTTGTTATCACAGCATGACTAATGTTGGCTCTTAACTGGGCTTTGGCCTAATCCCTCTTTTGGACACAGCAAAACTTCTGAGCTCTTTAAAAGCTGCTGTAGACCTAAGGTAGGCTGTCTGGTTGGGGGTATGTTTTAGAATTCAGACTCCACTGTA